AATTTTGTTTAGAAATAGAATTCTCGAAGAATCATATATAAATTTTAATTTAAGGGTTTATATGAGTATGTGAAACCTGCATGGCAAGAGCGTCCCCATCCACAACCTGTTGAAGAGGATCTAAAGATATTTGGTGCAACTGTTCCGTCCATTCCGGCAGACCCATCATCAACAAACTTCATCACTGTTGATGGAGTGAAAGTGCCAAGGTATACAGTAAATAATGAAATATAATTTTAACATTATAGATTACCATTACAGCTAACAGACTGGAGTGACCATCTCCCTTCCTTGTCGTTTGAGCCAGGAATTGCAATGCATGCAACAATTTGTTTGCAAAAGGGATTCAAACTTCAGAGTTGAGGGTCTGCAGATATTTTTTACATTATATTTTTCATCACCTGAATTTATTATACAAAGATTTCCACCACTTACTTCTTATTTGATAGCATTGATCATACGTACAAGTTATATTATGGAGGTGCTCAGAAAAGACCTGATGGTAACTACTCGAGACCAGTGAGGAACCCATCTGGTGACTTGATTACAGTGGTTGGTGACGGCAACAGAAAGGACATTCGAAATGCTGTTGAGGCTGCCCACAAAGCTGCCCCAGGGTACATGTTTTTTGTTTTTGTTTTTGTTTTTTTTTTTGTAGCTTTAGATATAATTTGTTTGTTAATATCCTTTAAATTTGAGCAGTTAAAAAGATCTTATTGTAAACACTCAAATCAAGCCTTCATTGACAATTATGTATATACCTATCATATGAGGCTTGCCAAGTTGAAAACCAGTTAGCTGGTGCTAAATTTTAAACTGAGTAATTAGCATGAATGTGACAGTATTGTATACTTTAGATCTGGGATGCTGTAATACTTTGTTTTGGCAATAGTGAGTCAATTGCAGTAAATGCCCAATAATTTTTAAGGTTATAGTGTACTAGGGAAAGTAGAATAGAGAGAAAGAATAAAAGAAAAGAAAAGAAAAGAAAGAACTGAAACCAAAAGAAAGAAAATGAAAGAAAAGTAAATATAAGAAAGAAAAAGGAATGAAAAGAACGAATTAT